AAAAAACGTCGCAGAAAGTTTCAGTGGATCCGAGAAAGTGAGTTATTACTGCGGTATACTTCTGTGTGCGTGTTTATGTGTTTAAATTAGATCACTAACTTCTAATATTCTAATCATCTAAATATTACAATATATGTAAAGTGTAAAATGAGAATAATTCGACTTTAAATTTAAATAATGCCTACACTTTTTTCTTGTGAATGTTTTATTTTGTTGGTTTGAAATTAGAGTTTTTATTCTGCAATTGTGTGGTAGGTCGCTTGATAAATGTTTAGATGTGGGTGTGTATACATGTAATTATGTTTATGAGTGTGTGCATGTGTGTTGCCACATGTTAACATCGATAAGTCCATTTCCTAACTTGTTGATTGGTGTGGAGGAGTCAGCAATTGTTTACCTGACTCCAGGTGTGCCCACTGAGCCCCTACACGCAGTATAAAACCCGGACAACGTACATTTGACTTGCACAGGAGCTGTTTTATTATGTTTGAGGGGGGGGGGGTACGTATCTCCTATTTTCTTTGATTGATTAGGTATGGGAGTGAGTCAGTGAGTCAGTGGATTAGTAGGTCAGTGGGTCATTGAGTCAGTGGTTCAGTAAGTCAGTGAGTCAGTAAGTGATTGAGTCAGTGAGTCAGTAAGTGATTGAGTCAATGAGTCAGTGAGTGATTGAGTCAATGAGTCAGTGAGTGATTGAGTCAGTGAGTGATTGAGTCAGTGAGTGATTGAGTCAGTGAGTCAGTGAGTGATTGAGTCAGTGAGTCAGTGAGTGATTGAGTCAGTGAGTGAGTCAGTCAGTGAGTGATTGTCAGTGAGTGAGTGAGTCAGTGAGTGATTGAGTCAGTAAGTGATTGAGTAAGTGAGTGATTGAGTCAGTGTCAGTAAGTGATTGAATCAGTGAGTGATTGAGTCAGTGCATCTAGTTTTGTGTCGTAGGTCCAGTTAAATAAAACGTTTCATCATCTCATGTTTGACTCACCAAAAGACACAAGTCACGTGAGAAGTGTTTGGTGAGTTTCCATTGTGTTTATTTACAGCATTTACAATGAATAAATTATTGACAACAACTGCATAGTGTTTTTTTTTTTACGTTTTCTGTTCGAAATATATGTAGTTTTTTATTGTATCGACATGTCAGTTGCTGGGTCAGTACTTGACACTGACAGTCGATGTCACAGTGCCAACTGACAGATCTATGTTGAAGTGCCAAGTGACAAATATATGTCACAGTGCCAACTGACAGGTCCATGTAACAGTGTGACCATTTGTCATGTCTATCACTGACAGAGTTATGTAATAATAGCAACATGTATTGCGCCGGTAACCTACATTTGTTCCTACACTGCGTATACATACCTTCAGTGTTACAAAGCTTTCAATTCTGATATTTATATCTTACTAGCCGTCCCGGCCAGGCCCTGCTCTGGCTTCTGTGAAAAACCTTTCTGTTAAAGACCATTACCTGTGTGTTTAGTAATCATCATAAACCCGGCATTGCCCACCCAAACCACAACCAACCAAAACAACAAAACGCAAACATAACGCTAACACAATTACAAATACAAACGAAAACAAAAACCTAACAACAAACCCAACCACAAACACAAATACAAAACCAAACAAAAAACACAAACAAAAACGAAAAAAGAAAGAACAAAAACGAACCAAATCAAAACGCAACCACTAACGCAAACCCACCTAAACACAAAGAAAACACTAACGCGAACATAAACGCCCGGGGCGGAATCACCTGTTTTAGCTTAATGAACGACTATAGTACCCCAACCCCAACCCCAACTTATTCATAATCTTTTGCACTCACTTAAACGAACGCGCCTGTTTCAATTTGATGAACAATTATAATACTCCAATGCAATGGTTTTATAAAGGGAAGTAATTGTGTTTTGCCTAATTTATCAAACGGAAGTAAGTGCTATAGGACTAAATAAAGACATAATTAGAATTTCTGTAAAAGATGATATTTTTTTAAAACTTGTGTTTAATGAACATGCCGACAATTATTACTATAATTTGAAAAATGAAAATTATTTCCCAACACTTTCAATAGTAATTTTTGAACTCATAAATTTAGACAAACGCGCACGATGAGTGTCTAACACTTAAATCCATCCAAGACCAACGACAAACATATGCGTTACATACAGAACTGAGCTTTATATATTAGATGATATATTTATATTTTATGATACATTTATATCCTCTGATACATTTTTATCTTCTTTTAGTTAGTGGTTCGAAATACTAAGCTGCTGAAATGTTAACGCTCATGTTTAGAGTTGGTTAGCCGCGTCCTATTTATATTTCATTGAGTGGTATTCCTATTTAAAATAACCTCTGAGGCTCTGACTCTAGAACCACAAACACAAACTAAGCTACCTTCATGGCACAATCTGTTGTATGGTACGGTTAATCTTACAGATACACGTTTGGCAATACCATAACAATTAAGCATATAATCTTATAACATAGAAACTGATATACATTTGATACAGTGATGACACTAAACCAGGGGAGGCTATAAGGGCGGACGATTTTTAACAAAGACTGTTTTCATTACCTCCCCTTAAATTTATGGGATTATCGTTAGTTATAAATAGCCCAAAGCATTTAGTAGTGTGATATAGTATTTGGATAACAGTACTAGTCGGAATATTTATATTAGCCCGACCTTGACCCCGGGTTATCATGAAACCACGACGAGCTAATAGCTGATTGGTTGCGCCATGTATGTAGCTATAAATAGATCTTGTGATGCTGACAGATGGACCAGGACGTGATAGCTAATTAATTAAGACAATGTTTATTATCATTTGTCTCACATCACCTTTTTATCGTTGGTCTGTGGCTTATGGTCAAGGACGCGCTGATGAGCTAATTGCGCAGTTATGAAATGAGTAAATTAACAATATTAAGAGAAACAAGATGAAATCAATACAAGACAGTTTAGTCATTAATTTGCACTTTGGAAATACTTGACAAGGTAGCCATGTTAAATAAGTAGCATTCGGTGACATACAATTGTCTGTGTAGTCCCCCTTGGCCCACGGAGTTATGTCCCCTGGGTTAGGGTAATCTCCCCTGAGGCCATTAAATTAACACCAAGAGCCCAATGACGGCTGTGAGGACACGTGTCAAGTCCTCGGGATTCGAACTCTTGTGGCTAGAACCTGCAGTTGTGCACTCTACTGCTCAACCACTTGTCTCGTTTAGATTGTTGTACTCAGGTCACTTTATGTAGATATCCTACAGGTAAATCATTGTGTCATTGTATTTAGATATCCTAAAGGTAAATCATTATGTCATTGTATGTAGATATCCTAAATGTAAATCATCGTGCCACTGTATGTTGATATCCCACAGGTAAATCCCTGTATGCAGATGTCCCTTTGAGAAAGCATCCTTTCAACATCTGATGTAACTCGTGTAGACATGCTTGTGTTAGTACAATGGCTCTGTGTTGTTGCCAAAAATATCTTCGTATTTTCCCGTATCCACTTTCTCCTTGCGGTAATTCCCGTTAATTTCGTCCAAATGTTGCAGGATGGAAGACACTTCGGCGTCAGCGTCATCGCTAATCTCGTCACAAGCTGACGCGTTATCTGCCAGTTTGTTGTTGTTTTGATTATCTAAGTCATTTTCTCCGTCGGTTTCGTCGATGTGGTTGTTGTTGTTGTTGTTGTTTGAAAGGTTTTCCTGATTAGATTCTACGTCATGAGCGGAAGTCGGGTTTTGTGACGTCATGGCTGGTGTCTGTTGTTTGGTGTTGGGGATGAGGTCACCCAGGAACGCGGTGGTGAAGTAAAAGTTGCCGTCGTCGCTGGTGAAAGGCGAGGTCTGTCTGCCGGCGTCGTGTGAGAACCGCCTCTCGTTCTTGGTCACGTGACGAGTAGGCTTCTCCTTTAGTGAATGACGTGGTCTAAAAATAGAATTGCTCGTTGATTTCGTCGAGCGGCGATTGAAATCTGAATTTTTGGGATTTCCCGATATTTTATTGATGTCACGTGACTGGGAGGCGGGTTTAGGGTTCAAGGGTTTAGGGTTCAAGGGTTTGTCGCCTCTCCGCAGCAGTAGCATAGTCTGCTTAGAGGTGTCGTGACCTTGGAGGATGGAGGACGTGTCGTGGAGGGAGACGGCCTTGGGCACGTACCCGCACATGGCGTCACTCCTTCTTCTGATGGGGATCATGGGGGTCTGCCCGTGGGTCCCGTTGGTGAAGCTGTACCCCCCGGGCTGGCCTGGTGACAGGCTGTACCCATTGGGCAGGCTGTATCTTTTCGGTCTCTGCGCGTAGAATGGTTGAACGAGCGGGAATTCCCGCACAGCTAGACTGCCGCCCACGCCTGTCGGGGAGATCCAGCCGGCCCCCACCCCCCGGGGAACATCCGGCTCTGAGAAACACCCCAGGGTCTTCTGCTGCAGGAACAGGTTCCCGCTGACTGGACGGGTGTGGTTGTCGCCCCTGGCCCTGTGTTCCCTGACGTAGACGTCCTGCGGCAGAGACGTCTTCCTAACGTAGACGTCCTGTGGCAGGGACGTCTGTCTGACGTACACGTCTTTACGTGACGACCGTTCCTTGTAGCTTTTAGGCCTGTCCTTGCGGCCATTGTCTAGGCTGGACTCTGGTCTGTGTTTGGAGCTGGTGACGAGTCCTTTTATTTTGCTGAGTAAACTCATGACGTCATGCACTGAGTGGATCAAAGGTTTAACAGTTCTGTTGGTGCTTTCTGAGGTCACATTACCGTTAGGTCACTGCACAATTACGTCATATCCTAGTTAGGTCATTTCCTTTAGGTCAGTGCTACACTGACAAGAAATTTTGTGACGAATTTTTGTGACAGGTTTTTGTGACAGGTTTTTGTTATAGCTAGTTTCCTCAGGTGGCTTTAGTGAGGCAATCCCAACAAAATTGTCCCACTGTAATTGTCATGGAATATAGTCATCAAAATTGGTCTTTAGATAAAAGTCATCGTACCATGTCCCCTTGATTTACTTTCATCAGACTCAGTGTCTCCTTAGTACAAACGTTTCCCACTGATCGTGTGTGTAAACTTTAGAGCAGATCAATATTTTAAGTCTTTAGACGCTCCAACACTGGCGTCACATAAAGGTTTTTCTCAATGACCTGTGAATTACAAAAGCAATGTTTAACGAATGTGTATCAAGTACATTCATCATAATAAGCACACACAAATCACTCGTCGTTTCGTTTGAAATTATTCTGTTGGTAAAATATCCCATTTGCCATTTCAAGTAACTTTATAACTAAATGGGGTAGGATCAATTCCAATTCAAGAATATCAGAAGTTAAAATTTCCAAAAAAAAAAAAAATCAATAAAGTTTAACGGACACAATTATAGATAAGTTCGTTACATCATCATTATCAGAACTTTATTTTAGATTCCAGACTATCCCGCTTTCTAACATAAGAGATTAGACATTTGTACTAAATATACCACAATTATAATCAGCGCAAAATACATAATCTTGATCTACAACTGTGATTATGTGATCTGATTTTTTCCCTCCCACTCATCAGAACCAGATGTCGCCATGGTTACTAACTTTTTTTTTTTAAATCCTCGCTGAACTTCTCTATCGAAGATACTTGATTTTTTTTTTGACGTACGTAGTTTTAGAATTATGGGAAATATAAACATGGCTGTAGCTAATAAGTGGAAAGAAAAATATCTAAAGCAGTCTATTAGTGAAAAAGAATATTTGAAAATATATACACCACTGTCCCCATTCCGCCCCCCCCCCCCACCCCAGAAATTTCAGTGTGCTCCAGGAGGTTTTAAATACCCCATACCCCACCCATCCCCAAGAGAACCGCGGTCCATGTAAGCTTACAATTAAAGTTTTAAATACTCCCCCTACCCCCACCCACCACAAAGAGAACCCAAGTCCATGTAAGTTTGTAAGCTTACAATTAAAGTTTTAAGATGCCTCCCGGGGTCTCTAAAAACGGGAAAGTTTATGGCGTCATGTTTTGTGACAACTGAACCTGTGGCTTACAGACGGTATAGCCTGTGGCTTGTGTAGCCTGTGGCCTGTGTAGCCTGTGGCTTGTGTAGCCTGTTGCTTACAGACAGTGTAGCCTGTAGCTTGTGTAGCCTGTGGCTTGTGTAGCCTGTGGCTTGTGTAGCCTGTGGCTTGTGTAGCCTGTGGCTTGTGTAGCCTGTGGCTTGTGTAGCCTGTTGCTTACAGACAGTGTAGCCTGTAGCTTGTGTAGCCTGTGGCTTGTGTAGCCTGTGGCTTACAGACGGTGTAGCCTGTGGCTTGTGTAGCCTGTGGCTTGTGTAGCCTGTGGCTTGTGTAGCCTGTGGCTTGTGTAGCCTGTGGCTTACAGACGGTGTAGCCTGTGGCTTGTGTAGCCTGTGGCTTGTGTAGCCTGTGGCTTGTGTAGCCTGTGGCTTGTGTAGCCTGTGGCTTGTGTAGCCTGTGGCTTGTGTAGCCTGTGGCTTACAGACGGTGTAGCCTGTAGCTTGTGTAGCCTGTGGCTTACAGACGGTGTAGCCTGTGGCTTGTGTAGCCTGTGGCTTACATGCAGACGGTTAATTAATCGGACATTTTAGCTGAGATAATCAGACATAACAAGCGGAGATTAAGGCAAGAAATTTTGTGACGAATTTTTGTGACAGGTTTTTGTGACAGCCAGTATTTCCGGCTTGTTTAAGACGGCAAAAAGTTTGGTCGTTAAACTCGGTCATTAATGTCATCGTCTCGTGATATTTATTAACTTTATAAAGGTCATCAGACCTGGAGAGATTATGGCTAATTAATTATGTTAATTAGGCTGAAAATGGCATGGCATGCTACGAGAGATTGGACAACAAACTAGAAGGGTGCAAAGGGGGAGAAAGTTAACACAGCAAATAAAATATATATTTAACAAAATTTAACACCGCAACAACAATTAATTTAACAAAAGTTCGTGGGACGGCGTGGTCGTTCGGTAGAGTGCATACTATCTAACTCGAAAGTCTCGAGTTCAAATCCCGGACTCGAAACTGTAGGACGTCAATAATTCCACAGCTCTGATGGGTACATGACTTACAAGACGGCTGGGCGTAGTGCTGACCGCACTTGTCTTCGATACGTCGTATTCACAGAAACAGTTGAATTCACCTTTTTCATAGACCGCCATCTTTCTTTCGCAAATGTTTGGAAGGTATCTAACATTATGTTAACATAATCATACATACACTATGTTGGAGCTGAGATGTATGTTAGAAAAAGCAGACACATATTGTTGGATGAGTTATTATAAGTTAACATCAGTTACAAACATGGAGGAGGAAGGGGGGGAGGAAGTAAGCAGACCTAAGTTTTGAAATGATGGCATAACAAAATATCTTTTGAGAACAAGGTAATTCACATTAGCAATAGTACGGACATGTCAAGCAAAACCTTTATCAAACAACTATCGTGTGATTCGAAAGACGGACAAAAGACTAGGTAGATTAACAGTTGGACAGAGATAGAACAGCTAATTTCCAAAAGTCGGGTATTCATATCTACATCCACATCCACACCCACATTGACATCCACATCCACACCCACATTGACATCCACATCCACACCAACATCCACACCCACACATACATCCTCATCCTCACCTACATCCACATCTACTCCTACATCCAAACCCACATTGACATCCACATCCACACCTACATCCACATCCACACCTACATTCACATCCAAACCTACATCCACATCCACACCTATATCCACATCCACATCCACATTCACATCAACATCCACATCCACATCCACACATACATCCACACCTACATCCACATCCACTCCTACATCCACACCACATTGACATCCACATCCACATCCACACCCACATTGACATCCACATCCACATCAACACCTACATCCACATCCACATCCACATCCACATCCACATCCACATCCACATCCACACATACATCCCCATCCACATCCACATCCACACATACATCCACACCCACATCCACACATACATCCACATCCAAACCTATATCCACACCCACATTGACATCCACATCCACTTCCACACCTACATCAACACCTACATCCATATCCAAACCTACATTCACATTCACATCCACACCTATATCCACATCCACACCTACACCCTCACCCACATCCACACCCACATCCACATCCTAATCCACTTCCACATCCACATCCACATCAACACCTACATCCACATCCACACCTACATTCACATCCAAACCTACATCCACATCCACACCCACACCTACATCCACATCCACACCTACATCCACATCCACACCTACACCTACACCTGCACCTGCACCTGCACCTGCACCTACACCTACACCTACACCTACACCTACACCTACACCTACACCTACACCTACACCTACACCTACACCTACACCCACACCTACATCCACATCCACATCCACATCAACACCTACACCTACATCCACATCCACACCTACATCAACATCCACACCAACATCAACATCCACACTCACATCAACATCCACACCCACATCCACCTCCACACCTACATCCACACTACATCCACATCCAGACCTACATCCACATCCACACCTACATCCACACCTACATCCACATCCACACCTACATCCACATCCACATCCACACCAACATCCACATCCACATCTACACCTACATCCACATCCACACCTACATCCACACCCATATCCACACCCACATCCACATCCACACCTACATCCACATCCACAGCTACATCCACACCTACATCGACATTCACATCCACACCTACATCCACACCTACATCCACATCCACACCTTCATCCACCTCCACATTGCAGTGTTGTCACTCACTTCAACCTTCAACTGCCAGTTTTCATGCCAGCCTCATAACAAGACCTTGAAACATTAATTTGGTCAAATATTTCATCATCAAAACAAGGCTAAAGACAAAGCAGAGGATTACTTCTTCTTCACGAGCATGAATAAATTAACATAATGTGATTGACTGCGACAGTTTGGCTTAAGTTTAGCGCCTTCTTGAAAGGGTACAGCACACGATTTTGGACAACACTTTCACAAACTATGCTAATACACCCACATTATTAAATAAACATCAGTATCGGCAACACCGTATTGAGCTCAAACGTGAAAGTCGTGATACTGTATTTGAAAGGATTGAAATCAATCCTAATATATCTAGTCAGCGGTGACGTCAAATACGACATGTATTGACCGATTGACTAGGGCTAATACGGCACGGTGGTTTCTGCATGTCAACTTCCGGTTTAGTTTGTTTGATCTCCTAACTTGTAGTGTGTACATGTTTGTGGGTGGTTATTTTGTACACACACACACCCTCACACACGTATACACACTCACAAACATATAAATATATCGACTATTTAGGCCTATATGTATAAATAAAAGCTATAAAAGTATATATAGACTATTCAATGTGTAGGTTATATAAATAAATAAATAAATAAATGATAAAAATTATATATATATATATATATGTATATATATATATATATATATATATATATATATATATATATATATATATATATATATATATATATCCTATACATATATATGTATGTATGTATATACATACAAACAAAATTATAAATCTATAGACTATATAGGCCTATATGTAAATATATACGCTATAAAAGTATATATAGACTATATAAAGTATAATAAGTAAATATATATATATATATATATATATATATATATATATATATATATATATATATATATATATATATATGTATATATATATATATATATATATATATATATATCCTATACATAGGTATGTATGTATGCATGTATGTATATGTATACATACAAACATATAAATATATAGACTATAAATGTATAGAGTTTGATTATAAAGTCATAAATTGGATCAGTTCTAGTGACCGAAGTACATACATGTTTGTTATTCAAATTTAACTTTTAAAAAATAGTTTAATTTATAATACACTTTGATACTGCACCGTGTGACGTCACAGGTCTCGGCTGACCACTCGACTGACCACAACTCTGGCACCGTCCGCAGATCTCCAGGACACTACACTCGGCGAGGACCACCTCTACAAGAAAACACACGACGACCAAACGCGTCACACACCAGTGAACACAGCACTTTCCGCCTCTACCTTGCCACACTACCCCCGCATGCAGCAGACGTACGTACGTCACTTCATGCAGCTCTAACAGCAGACGACTTGTCCCTCCATGATCTGCACATAGCCTACCTGGACCAACTCGATACCATGACATACATCACGTTGACACTGTATTCGTATGTTTATATACGCTCCATTTTCTCACGTTCTAGTTGGACGGGTGGTATCGATATCGTGTCTGGTGATTTAAAATATGAATCGAATATAGTTAAGATTATTTTTGTTTTGTTGATAAACATTACGTCAGCTGGGATGAAACAAGGGGTGATCCCTATTAATATTACATGTTATCTCAAACTATGTGTATATATGCATACATAAATACATATGTATATACATATAGGGGAGCAGGAAGTTATCTGTCTCCCGTCCAGTGTTTCTTCCAGACTTTTTTCTCCGGGGGGGCACTTGAAATCTTCGGGGGGGGGGGGGGGCGGTAAACTTTCTTCGGGGGGGGGGGGGGGCGGACACTGTTAAAAGTATATATTTTCTATATAAATTATATAAATTTCATTTCGTTCGGGGGGGCGGTAAAAAAATTTCGGGGGGGGGGGGGGGGCTTCGCCCCCCCCGAAGAGATGCCTGGAAGAAACTCTGCTCCCGTCACTATCTCCCGTCGTCTGATCAGTTCCCCCTCCCCCCTAAAAAAGACATAACATTAGCCCTCCCTCCACCCTCCTCATTTACAGACAGATAAAGAGAGGTTAAGTTAGGGTTTGGGTTTAGGTTAGAGATAGGGAGATGGATAAGTAGAAGGATAGGTACATGTGCAATATGTAATGGATGTATGGTTTTAAATTACATCATCATTATGTTATACAGTACGCTGTAACAAATTTTTTTAACAAAACAAATAAATAAAAACTCGAAAGAAAACTGATTGCAAATAACGAGTACTATAATAAAGTACTATAACAGAGTACTATAACAGAGTACTGTAACTGAAAGGATTTAATGATTTGTTGTTTAAAAGGGTTGTATTTGCATAAATTTGGGAACCACTGTTTTCTTATGACGTTAAAATATGGCAGCTGTGGTCTTTACGCGATGCATCACCAAATGGTGTTACAACACCATGTGGTGTCATGTCTATGTCACCAAATGGTGTTACAACACCATGGGGTGTCATGTCTATGTCACCAACTGGTGTGACAACATCACGTGGTGTCATGACCACCACCACCACAGACCGCTGTATTAACCAAACATCACAAAGTCAACATTTGTAGTCGCGAGGTTAAAAGGTTCGATCCCCTGGTATCGCTTCCTGGACAAGACTTTACTTTAACCTCTTTATTGACTTCAATCAATACTGATTACTAAAAAAATTATTGGATAATGTTAGGTTAATCGAAGTGTGCTAGAATTGAGTGTAAAATTAATGTAATTAAATTAGCATCTTATCAACTTTTACGTTTTAGTTTTTTCGGTGCATTGAACTTTGTCACCAATTAACCTTACGTCATCACGATATCTCATTTTATTCTTTGTATCGATACGACATTTGTAGCCAATAGAAAGTTTTGTAAACATGACGCGAGAGTGTAACTAGATTTTATCTTTGTGTTACTATTTATAGCGTGATATCTACCAGAGTTCATCAACACTGAATCTACTATAGGAAGTACACAGATACCATCAGGGCTATGTAAACCTAACGTCACAACAAAGAGACGTGGTTTGTTTTGAGGGGTGTGGGGTGGGGAGGTGGGTGCATGTACGTGTATGTTTGTAAATATGTTTTTTTCTATGTGATATTGTGTGTTCTTTCATGTCCTGATATTAAAGTCACTAAATTAAATACAGTAATTCCACACTACATGCATCACCGAATCCTACACGAACATTAGTAAATCATTATCTAACACGAACATCACATATACATTAAACTTAACATTAACTTCAAATATTACTGAAACTGAATCTAAATCTAACATATAACATCACTTAAACTGAATCTAACACTAACATAAAACATCAATAAAACTTAATTCAACACTAACATAAAACATCAATAAAACTTAATTTAACACTAACATAAAACATCACTAAAACTTAATTTAAGACTAACATAATACATCACTAAAACTGAATCTAGCACTAATATCACACATCACTAAAACTGAATCTAACACAAACATCACACATCACTAAAACTGAAACAAGCACTAAGATCACACATCACTAAAACTAAAGCTAACACAAACATCACACATCACTAAAACTGAATCTAACTCTAACATCACACATTACTAAAACTAACCCTACCGAATACATCCTCACTAAATCCGTTATTGACATCCCCTCACACCTGATATCTATCCTACCAGCACGTTTGTACCACTAGTTCAACAACATCAATCTGACAAACTTAAACAACAACCTAACCCGACCTACATTCTATAATACACCCACTCCCCAGAAAGCCCCCCCCCCATTATATATATATAACCACACCACCCCCCTTTGTCCCCCCCCCCATACGCCCTGTTCTCATGTGGACCCATGGGGTGTTCTCGCATGGCGGGTCATGGTAAACACGACAATTTGTCCACGCTTGGCGAACCTCAAAACCTCTGAACCTTTAACCTCTGAACCTACCTACGGGTGGTAAGGTTGTAGATCTCTTCTGTTTCAACTTGACTAACGCTGTCTGCGGAATGCGACAGTGTTAGATACGGGCTTATGGATGGCTTAACTCGCTAGTTTTTTTTACAGCTAATATGGTTGCCGGATGTAGCAAAGGGTGTGCTTTCCCACCCACGGGAATAGCAACACGTAATTAATTCCACGCCCAAGTAGAGCGTGCAATATAGGCTTTAGCCCCCCCTCCCCACCCATGGGCATAACAAGCAATTTTTACCTCGCAAAACACCCTGACACCACAAGTAGTTTGCCATCACTCACGTGCACTGAATATAGTCTACCCACTACCCTCGGGCACAATGATGAACCACCCCCCCCTCCTCATCATCTAAACACCCACTCCAACAGTGAACCACCCCCCCCCCCTCCTCATCATCTAAACACCCACTCCAACAATGAACCACACCCCCCCCCCCCTCCTCATCATCTAAACACCCACTCCAAAAATTACAGTGTTAAAACAAACCAAAAAACTGTGAACGTTGCCACATCCAACAATAATTTGATCTCACATCCAACACCAACCTTGTTGGGGCATGACGTCATGCAACAACAAACGCCCATGAATATTTGACAGACACAACTAGCTACAAACCAACACAAAGCACCGTGACGCATCCATATTTGATGTCATCATTTCAGGCGTGGATTACAGCGAATTTGAGTGATTAGGATCAGGTGCCTCCACGGGGTTGCTTGAAAGAGGAAAAGAGGACGGGGGGGGGGGGGTTAGAGCTGTCCACAATGGCTGTAGGATTTACATCAAGCTTAAAATAGATGACAAATTTAAATAACAATTTAACAGGGCCCGACTGATTAAATTCAGTAGCACCGCCTTCGTTTTTTTTAAATAATTGAAATTCATTACCTATGTTTAGGATGGAATAAAAGTTGGAGTGGTTGTGTATGACATATTGATTAAGGTTCCCAAAAAAATTGCGCAATCAAAAAATTGCTCAGCGGAAAACTGCGCAAACAGAAATATGCGCAAGTACGAAGTAATTACACTAATACACTTTAATTTTGTCCTATTTCGTTGAAATGTGTTTTATTATGCTACAATTTATTGTCACCCTTTTTAATATGCTAAATGTTCGATTTAAGAAAACAAAAATGACGTCCTTGCGCATTTTTTTGTGCGCCTTTTTCCGTTGCGCATCTTTGCGGTCACCACTGACTACTGTGGGAGATGGGATACTCCAAAAATTCTCAAGTACGTGTTTTGCTGTAAGCAGACGTCAAACGGGCGACCATGTCCAGCAACAGATACATTTTTTACCTTGTCGAGCATTAGAGAATCGGTACTAACTACAACAGATGCCCTCCACTAACCTTTGACCTGATAAAAAGATGGGTCTCGAGTGACCTTTTACCTGATAAAAAGATGGGCCCCACTGACCTTTGACCCTAAAAAAGATTACCCCGCCGACCCACTACCATGTAGCTCTTTCTTCTCTTGATTGCCTGAGATTGTGCATGTACCTCTTCAATGATACTTTAAATCGATGTGACCATCACCTAAGTGACCCTACCAAAACGATACTTAACCTCCATGTGACCATCACCTAAGTGACCCTACCTCGGGGCGCTACGGCCAGACACGCCGACCCACTCCACCCCCGCTCTCCTGCAAGTCTACATCACCGCCAGCCCTGTAACAGTGGCTGCTGGCACCGATCACCTCTTTATGTGGCGGGGTGGGTTCTGTTAGAGCTTGTAGGTCGGCGTTGTTGGTTCATAGATCACGATTGTGTTGTAGTTCACGCGAGAGTTGAGCACCAATTGGATTTTACAAATGGACACGCCCCACTTGAGGTAAGTTTGTTTTTTGATGTGGTGTTCATAAAAGACATAACAAAGCAGGTTTGAGTTTATAAACATCTCTCTAGTAAACACAAACTAATTGTTATGTGGGGGACTCGATTTCTACATTTTCGCCTAAGAATTTTGTAAAGTTGAACTTGGACTGGTGGTTCTTAGACACACACACAGTTTTTGATACACGAATTCTTAGACACACGAGTTCATACAGGTGCGAGTTCTTAGACACAAGAGTTCATATACACTCGAGTTCATAGACACATGAGTTTATAGACACACGAATTCATAGACCCACGAGTTCTAGACAACTGTTTTTTTTAGACACAATTTCATAGACACACGGTTTATAGACTGACTTTTATCGGGCGGCGTGGTCGGACAGGAGAGTGCATGAATTCTCTCATAAAAGTCCCAAGTTCGAACCCCTGGTCCGATGAAGCTCGTTAGGTAGGGCAAGTCACCCATCTAGGGAATACAACTCCAAAATCAAACAACTTCTGGCCTGGAGTATGTTTCTACAAATAGGTTTTTAGACTAGTTTTTTAAAAGTGTTATTAGTCTTATGTTTTATATCCCGTGGTGGTTGAACATCTTGACCAGCCAATCTAGATGGACACGATAAGTTCCTGCCCTGAGAATCTCTAGAATCAAACGGCGTGGCTGACGTCACGGCATCAGATTCCAGGATCTGTTCCTGCCACGGTCGAGTGGTTCCGCTCCCTTGAGTTCACGCAGCGTGACGACACGGACGATTGAACACGCGCCTGGGCGAGCGGGATGACGAGATAAGACAAATCACGTGATCGCCACAAGTCTCATGACCACATCCTGTTGCAGTGGTTCTTTACCTTTTAGCAGGTACCGAACCCCACTAGTTTCATACACGCATTCGCCGAACTTAGTAGTTCTATCGCCAGAACAGACAAAATCTGATCGTGAATCAAATGAGTCGGGTGTGTGTCTTGACCTCCGCCGAACCCCCGAAACTGACTCACTGAACCTCTGGGGTTCGATCGAACCCAGGTTAAGAACCACTGTCATAATGATTTCTACACTATTAATTAACTTTGACAAGTCAAAACCTGAACAGGATCACATCATTTAGTTGTTTCAGTTTTAATTTAGTCAGACAAACGAAACGTAAAATACACAATTGATGATCCCTAATTATATCAATTGTTAGCTATTTTAATTAAATATTGTTTTTGTTTTTACGCTTCATTAGTATGGGTTGTTAACAGAACTAGCTATTATTAATTACACAATGACTTATCCGAATAGCTGATTATTATTTGAGTAGTTTATTATTGTGTTGATTGAATATTATACATTAGGGTTTTAGTTATCTGAGTTCAGAGTATTTGACAGCCAGGTACAGGTAAGTGTACTTTGATATTCAAGCATTGAGTACAGGGGCGGAACTACAGTGCCGCCAGACCCCGCAATGCGGGGGGGGCCCACGCCATTTAGGGGCCCACGGCCGACCATAAAAAAAATTGTTATAGTTTTAAAAAATGTTCTTGCATTTTTTTACTTAATGTTTGTTTTGTAAAAAAGATTACCGTAGCTGCGGTTGGATTATCTTTATTCTATAGACACCACCCCACGCTCATTTTTCCTTCGTTTTTAAACCACTGTGAAAGTCGAGTCCTCTTTCTCCTACAATGAAACTTACCAAAGATAAGCAAACGTTTAACTACTTCCATGACTTATTTCCCTTTTTTAAATAGTCAAATAGTGATGCTCATAGCCTCTTTTTAATAGCTTTGTACTAAACAAATTAAAAAGCAATTACTTCTCTTTATTATTATTTGTTTATAAATTACTTACTAAAGAATGACACTGTATAAAAATAAAATGTATTTAAAATTAATAAAATAAATACAAAAAAAACATTAAAATAAACATGACACGAGACACCATTATTTGCAGAAAGCTGTCATGTTTTATATTATTTTGACCGATAGAAAGTTAAGGGTCTTACGGCAGAGATAATAATTATAAAACTGATTTTCACAAAACATACTAATGCACTTACACTCATGGCATGATGTTGTAATTTGTTTTAATTAAAAAAAGAACCCACGTATTTCTCATAACACGAACAGGCCAGCATGAATAAGTATCCTATGTTCGTATGTTGTGCTTAAGTATATATATATATATATATATATATATATATATATATATATATATATATATATATATATATATATATATATATATATATATATATATATATATATATTATATATACATATATAGGCTTATATATTTATATTGGGGGGGGGCCTAAAAAATTTTTTTGCGGGGTGGCCCCTTTTTTCTAGTTCCGCCACTGATTGAGTAATGTTCTTGTTTCTGTCCGTTATAAAACTTGTATAATGTCAAACTACATTGTGCCTTGTTACATTCCAGTTTGATTCCATGTTTATGAAATAAGGCTAAAAAATATTATTTACCTTCTAAAATGACCGTTCTGCAAAACCTAGTTAGCTTTTTGGAAGGCTTACACACCCGACTGGTTATCGGTAATTGGTAATTGTCGTGTATTCGTGGCCAGGAGGAGTTGCTAGTTGGACTTGATCGTTCAAGTTTTTATTTTCTTTAATCTGTTGAATTGACCTTAAGCATTGATTTTTGTTAAGTACCTAGATTCAATATTAACCAGGAACTGCTTGAGGCATACAGGCTAATAACTTAGGAAATTTGGTGGAGAGGTTTACACGGGTGAAGAATGCTGCAGATCGCTTGTTGCGTCTCCTCATATATATATATATATATATATATATATATATATATATATATATATATATATATATATATATATATATATATATATATATTGGCCATGAGCTGAAATAGCACACCTGACCGTCTAAACACCGCGACAAATCAATAGCGGCCAGAACGCAGTGTGAAGCCACCACACCAATTTGTTTCAGCACTTGGACTTTTGTTGACGTTAGTGTCACACTGGCAGGGTGGAGGTGTCATAGTTGCTTCATCGCATTAATGTGTGTCATAGTTGCTTCATCCCATTCATGTATGTCATAGTTGCTTTATCCCATTCATTTGTTCCACAGGCTTGAGATGTCATAGTTGCTTCATCCCATTCATTTGTGTCATAATTGCTTCATCCCATTCATGTATGTCATAGTTGCTTTATCCCATTCATTTGTTCCTAGTCAACCACGTGGCAGTTGGTGAATAGACTCGGCACACCATTCACTTTACCAAACAATATTCTGGCTGTGATTAGTTGTTTTTTTTTTTAAATGATCATATTTTGTTTTTAGCTGGCTATCTTCATCTTAGATCTATATTGTAATGTTGGACAGGATTTTCCTTCAATATAATTAAGTAATAAGTGTCCACTTGTTATGCGCCGTATTGGCCGTTGATTCCGATTACAGCCTGCTTTTATTTCTGGATTTGCTTCCATAGCCTTTGTTGCTGTCGCCACTTATCGAACCTCATCTGCCTGGGGGATTCAACTATAACAATACGAGCAACGGCGAGGGGGTGGGGGTTGGGGCATAGTAGTCATTTAATCAGCAAATATTTTTTTCTAAAGGGCTTGTTTGCTAATTAAATTGCTTTAATTTCTCCCCCACCCCCTCGGGTTTTGACGTCAGGTACGTCACAGCTCTCAACAAGTGTCGTCTGTTGGTTTGGTCACGTTTAAGCACCTGACGGCAGATTTGGGATTTGTCTTGCGCAATGATTTTTTTTTACTTTCTCGTATATACGAAGTATAGAGAAAGTCTTGTAATCGTGCAAAAAAAAAATCGAGATTTTTACAAATCTCGATGTTTTACACCTCACTGATACGGAAAAACATAATTTTGCAATCTTGTCCGAATGTCTGTGTCTGTGTGTGTGTGTGTGTGTGTCTGTCTGTGTGTGTATAAACAAGATAACTTGAGTACCGTTACAGCTAGGTTGATGAAATTTCATATATAAGTATTTTATCAAAATCGTAGATCCGTATCAACTTTTGAGCGATTTCCGATAACCGGAAGTGGTACTTTTTCTACTTTGAATTTTTCAAAAGCCTATAACTTGAGTACTATTTAGGATAGATAAATGAAATTTCACATGTAAGAAAGAGATCTAATTCTCTACCTTCTGTCAAATTTTGAGTAATTTCCGTTAACCGGAATTACTAATTTACGCTATTTCCGATTTCTCAAAAAACGCATGTATATTTATAAAGTACTAATAATATTGCGCACTATTATGCACATTTTGTTTTGGCGTTCGCTTGGTGCGCAATTCTTTTTTCTATGAGATTCTATTCTATTTTTAAAAGTTTAAGTAATTAAAAATCATGTCTATATTCCAAGTTATATAAGAATATTCGAGAAAGTTTTGGGGAGATCACTCCCGGTTTATTTTATTGAAGAATGGTTGATTGATCCATTTTGTTTTAATTGATGAAGAATAGTGTACGGAAAAATATCTCAATTCTATTTTGGTTTACGTTGTTGGTCTAATAGTATAAGATCATAGAAACAGATGAACTCTACTTCATCTGCCATGTGTGCCATGGCCAGCGAACGGGAAAAGATAGTGAACTCATGAACGATGTTAAATAGTTTTTAAGGTTTAATGTTTAGTCTCTGTTATGCCCTAATACATCCAGCTTATGCGAAAAATAAATAATAAATCAAAACCTGTAAAACAAACATTAAACACCCTAGTTATATTAAGATTAGTTTTTATTAGCAGACTTCGCAACTAACACAATGTTTGCATGGTTGAGATGGATGCGAAAACTTGTAAACATACCTAAAAGAGGTTTGTCTTTTCGACCTGCATCTTTTGAACGGAGATACAAAAATACAATTTCAAGCGGTATCCTAAATTCTGTTTCATGATTTACATCATTGTATTTAAATAAATCAATTTAAATTACATTTTATCTAGTAAATAATCTTATCGATTGATTTTTTTTAAAATTCTTACCTCCCTATTCCTTTACTTAAAGTTACCATGAAAAAACATGGGAATCAGTTTTTACAATATCGTGTCACAAATAGAAACCATCCCAAAATTGCAAGTGTTTACAGTACGTGTAGAAATCAATGAAGGATGACCAGACACTGATGGAGATAATCTCAGGCTCATTAATCGTCTCAATGAACCGCCATCTGACGTAATTAGCCACAGCCAGATAATTAATCAGCCAGAACATTCATTTATTTCTGCTTGTCAGCAGGGGACAAAAGCAAATAAAAAACTTGAAGAAGTGAATTGATGGTAAAACCTGACCTGACACTCAACATGAAATACTGACCTGACAAAAATATAACAACTGACAATGGATAACTGGTTAAAGTGCGGGAGTGTCGGTTTAAAATTGTTGACAAACTAATGGCTTTTAACACTTTAAAATTATTTAACTGACTCCTGTCTGTTTACATATATAGAAACTTGTGAACGAAATTTTAGCCGCTTCTACCGATTCAATTTACTTTTACCATTGGATGTCTAATTATTTTTTTACATCAATAAAAGTTCGCTAATACAATACTGATTGAGTCGCGCTTTTAAACACAAAATTTAGTGCCTTGTCTTAGCGTACAGGGTTTTTAGTTCTGCGGTTTTTTAATTGGAAAAAGTAAAATGCTCCCATAGATGTCCACTGAGAATGACACACCAGAGGTGATATGTGAAAAAAATAAATAACGTAATTTCTATTAAAACGTGATTATTTAAAAAATCTAATTTAGGAGCCATCAATTTTGTGATTGATCTATTACAACAGACATTTTTTATAGTGCGTTAACGGCGTCTGAGAGTTATTCCTATGAAAATGTGTTATGACGATTTCTAACCGACTGACACACTACCTGGAGTTATCTTTTACATTACATTTTTTTTTATTGTTTTACATGCTTTTATTTTTATTTTTCATTCATTTCCTCAGGTGACTGAACTTTCGAAAGGTCTCTTAGACAGGAGCTAAGTACATAGTCAGAGGCTAAATACTTGGTCAGTGGCTAAATAATTGGTCAGAGGCTAAATACGTGTTTAGAGGCTAGGCACAAATTCTGGAAGAGATATTAACCCTGAGCAATGATGGGCAAAGTTTTACATGGAAGAATGTTCTAGAATAGCTTGATTCTATTTGTGGAGTACGACCAGTGTAACGAAAAAGGAAGTTATTTACAAAGAAACATTTCAACGGATCTAAAACATTCTCGTTCTGGTGTCTTTTTCATACACAACCCAAACACATTTAGTACTGTTATATGATGAAACTATACGTCTAACATCTAAATGACAAGACTATACGTGTGACATCCAAATGACATCACTTTACGTATGCCGTCTAAATGACAAGACTATACGTATGACGTCCAATTGACATCACTTTACGTATGACGTCTAAATGACAAGACTACGTATGATGTCCAAATGACAAGACTATACGTATGACGTCTAAATGACATCACTATACGTATGACATCTAAATGACAAGACTATACGTATAACGTCTAAATGTCCATCGTGCAAATAACAAACGTACCAGTAGCGACGTCCAAATGCCAGGCATACCATATCTCTGACGTCAAAATGTCGAGATTACAATATCTGTGACGTCCTAATGACGAGCCTTGCCCTTGTGTACGTCATCATCCTGTGGGAGCTGTCCCTGACGCCGCTGACCACTGTCCGAGGGCTGGACATCCAGGCTGAGGGTGCCAGCTTCCCTGACGCCGCCTACCAGAAGTGGACCGCCGCCTACAGCGCCACCCGCATGGCCAAGAAGCAGGTCAAGATCACGTACAAGACCACCGGAAGTGGAGGCGCTGTGGCCGCCATCACGACACGACCCGACCAGGTGGATTTTGTCGGATCAGACAATGTCCTGTCTGACGCGGATAAAAAAAAGTTCCCGGATCTGGTCATTTTTCCTCTAATCGCGGGGTGAGTTGGTCATTTCTTTCCTTTGATATCTTTGTAAAGAGTCATTTCCTTTCATAACTGGTGAGGCATTTCTGTCCTTTAATGGCTTTGTAAATGAGTCATTTCTTTCCTTTGATATCTGTGTAAAGAGTCATTTCTTTCCTTTGATATCTTTGTAAAGAGTCATTTCTTTCCTTAGATGTCTTTGTAAAGAGTCATTTCTTTCCTTTGATATCTTTGTAAAGAGTCATTTCCTTTCATAACTGGTGAGGCATTTCTGTCCTTTAATGGCTTTGTAAATGAGTCATTTCTTTCCTTTGATATCTGTGTAAAGAGTCATTTCTTTCCTTTGATATCTTTGTAAAGAGTCATTTCTTTCCTTAGATGTCTTTGTAAAGAGTCATTTCTTTCCTTTGATATCTTTGTAAAGAGTCATTTCTTACCTTTGATATCTTTGTAAAGAGTCATTTCCTTTCATAACTGGTGAGGCATTTCTGTCCTTTAATGGCTTGGTAAATGAGTCATTTCTTTCCTTTGATATCTTTGAAAAGAGTCATTTCTTTCCTTTGATATCTTTGTAAAGAGTCATTTCTTTCCTTTGATATCTTTGTAAAGAGTCATTTCTTTCCTTTCATAACTGATGAGACATTTCTATCCTCTAATGGCTGTGTAAATGAGTAATTTCTTTTTTTTTTCCATTCATAACTGGAAAAGTGAGTCATTTCTTCCCTCTTATACCTCAGACAGTGAATTATTTCTTTTCTCTTGTAGCTGGTTATTTTCACAAACATTAGTTTTAATTTATCATTTTGGAAGTTTGTAATTAATCTAGTATGGACATTGTTTTGTATGCCAGTCGAATGCTACACTAGTTATTTAATGTGTTGTTATTTAACTTGCCTATACAAACCCCTTTGTTGAAAAAGAAATATCGTTGAGTCGAATATTTAAGTTAACAATGGATAACTAGGTTAGAGAAATTATTGTAATCGAGCAAAAAATTTAAAAAAGTAATCGCGATTTTTACAGGTCTCGTCGTATTAACCCACATTGAGTGGGAAAAACATAGTTTTTTTATTTTGTCTGTATGTTTGTTTGTATGTCTGTCTGTATGTCTGTCTATGAGATAAATTGAATACTGTTTCAATTATGTTGACGAAATTTCTTATAAAAGTATTATATCCAGTTTGTTGTTCTTATAAGCTTTTGAGCTATTTCCGGTAATCGGATGTGGTACTCAATCTAATTTCGGTTTGATCAATAGCCTCTAACTTAAAGACCTTTTACGAAAGGTGGTCGAGATTTCATAAATAACTTATAATTTGTATGCGCATAAAAAAACACACACTTTTGAACGATTTTCGTTAACCGGAAGTGGTAATTATCAGTAAAATATTTTATACTTAGATTACTTTTAATTTTTAGTGACCTCCGATATCCAGAAGTGTAATTTACTTTATTTCCGGTTTCTAAAATATGGATAAGTTTCAGATGGTTAGGAAAAAAAATAATTTTTAGGTATAAGATCTTATGCACTGATTCTATGAAGTTTTGATTGATTTCCGTTTACAAAAAGATTAACTTTAATAAGCTATTTCCGTTTTCTAAAAAATAAAAAAATAAAATTTCATAATTTTAATATATCATACAATTTCTAAACAGCAAATTCAAAGAGCTTTTTGTAATAGATTGAAATAATTGTGAGGTCAAGGGAACTCACTCTTCTGTATTAGTTATATTTATAATATTGTTATCTTGAGTGATGTCCCTTGTGTACTTCCTTCCGTCCTCTCTGTGTGTTTCCATCGTGATGTAGTTAGACCCATTAAATGTATTATATACAACCACAGGCTTCTGTCGTCAATCTATTATAACTGGCGACGAAGGATAAACATCTACTAGAAAGAGCACCTACTTACGCAAAAAAGAGGTTTGCTAGAGCTTATTAGCTAATTATTTCTAGAATTATGGCGCTGTATGGCCAAATAAAAGAATTTGATGTGAATGATGAAATCATTCAAGATTACCTAGAGAGGTTAAGCTTTTACCTAGAAGCAAACAACGTGACGATAGAAGCCAAAAAGAGAGCTGTTTTGTTAACAGTCATAGGGCCTCAACAATTTAGGCTACTAAAAGACTTATGCACACCAGCTAGTCTAACTACCAAGAGCTTTAACGAGCTGAGCAAATTGCTAACAGACCACCATGCGCCTACCCCATCAAAGTTTTTATGTCGAGCTAGATTTGACAGTAGGACTCGTCAACCAAACGAGTCAATATCAGAATATGTTGCTGCTTTACGTCATGTAAGTGAATTTTGTGAATTCGGCGATACGCTGTCTGACAGACTATGTGAAAAGTTTGTGACAGGTGTAAACAGCCCTGATATTCAAAGAAAGTTGCTGCTCGAGTCAGATCTAACGTTAGAAAAAGCAATACAACTTGCAACTTCATTCCAGCAGTCATCCGATGCGGCGAAATCTCTAACGCCTTCAGAGATCCATGCAGTAAACAGCAGGTTAGTCAATAAACACCAACCCCATCAGAGCATTTCAACTTATGCTAAACAGCCTGCTCGTTCAAATCCTAGATCTAAATCTAGTAATAATTATCAAAAATGTCATCGATGCAAAGGTCCCCATGCATCTCATCGGTGCAAGTTCAAGTTAGCAACTTGTTATAAGTGCGGTAAGCAAGGTCACATTGCCAAGGCCTGCTTTGCAAAGTCTTCGTCTGTTGCTAAATCTAGCCAGTCAAGACAGTACCGCAACCAAAAGCAGCACTATGTTAACTCTCACCAAGACTACCTAACCCAACCAATGAACCACTCTACCTGTGAAAATTCTCAAACTGATTCGCAGCCGGATTTCAGCCTGTTCTCTGTGAAATCAATGAGTCATGCTCCCATCAATGTACAAGTTAATATCAACGGTAAGAGCATCAGCTTCCAACTTGACACTGGAGCATCTCTAACAGTCATAACAAAGAAAGATTTTGACGCTGTCACAGGAGGATCAGTGTCTCTACAGCCGTGTCACAAGTGTCTAACAACATACACTGGTGACAATGTTCCGGTAATAGGAGAGTGTATGGTTCATGTAAGTTATAATGGTCAAAGTGTTAAACTTCCTCTTCTTGTGGTTGAAGGAAATGGACCGCCATTACTAGGTAGGAACTGGTTAAGTGATCTTAAGTTAAATTGGGAGAGTATTTGTTCATTGAAGAATGTAAAAGAATCTAGTCTTACTTCACTAGATAAAGTTATATCTGAAAATAAATGTGTTTTTGGTAACTCTGGATTACTAAATGATAGAACAGTGAAGTTAAGCATTAAAGATACAAATCCAAGATACTGCAAAGCTAGAGTTCCACCTTATGCAATGAGGAATAAAATTGAAAATGAGCTAAGTAGATTGGAATCTAATGGCATTATAAAGAAGGTAGACTATTCCGATTGGGCAACGCCCATTGTGCCAGTGTTAAAGAAGGATGGTTCTATAAGAATTTGTGGAGATTATAAAACTACACTGAATAAGCAAATAGAGCTAAATAGGTACACTATACCTAACATTGAGGAAATTTCTTTGAATTTGGCAGGAGGAGACAAATTCACTGAATTAGACTTTAGTCATGCTTACACTCAACTAGAACTGCATCCAGATTCAAAAGTCTATACGACAATAAACACACATAAAGGACTCTACCAATATGAAAGACTATGTTTTGGCATATCATCTAGCCCTGGAATTTTCCAAGCTGTCATGGACAGTATTTTTAAGGATATTCCAAATGTTTGTGTGTACTTTGACAATGTGTACATAACTGGTAAGAATGACACTGAACATCTTAAAACACTTGATAAAGTCTTGAAAATTGTTGGTGAAAAAGGTTTAAAGATAAACAAAGATAAATGTCAATTCATGCTGACAGAAATTAGTTTTCTTGGTTATATATTAAGCAAGCAAGGCATCAGACCTCAACCTGAGAAAACTAAAGCCATTAAAGAAGCACCCAAACCTGAAAATACCCAACAACTAAGAGTTTTTTTGGGCTTGATAAATTACTATGCAAAGTTCATAGGAAATCTGTCTGGTAAACTATCACCACTGTACAAGCTGCTACAGAAAAATGCAACTTGGCACTGGGGTAAACAACAAGAAGCTGCTTTTAATACAGCAAAAGAGGCTTTGTCTGCTGACACCTTACTAACTCACTATGACCCAGGGAAAAGACTTATATTAACATGTGATGCTTCACCAGATGGTGTAGGAGCAGTCTTGTCCCACATGGATGAGAAGGGTGACAGACCCATTGCTTTTGCCAGTAGATCTTTGAACCAGGCTGAGAAAAATTATTCTCAGTTAGATAGGGAAGGCTTAGGCATCATTTTTGGTGTTAAGAAATTTCATAAGTTTCTGTTTGGTAGGAAGTTCACCATCTTTACAGATCATAAACCATTGCTAGGTTTATTTGGAGAAAACAAAACCCTACCTGAGCATGCCTCACCAAGAATTCAAAGATGGGCTATCACACTAACTGCATACAATTATGAATTGAAATACAAACCTGGATCTGAGAATAGTGCAGATAGTCTTAGTAGATTACCTTTAAAAAACCAAAGCCTGAGCTATGTACCAGAAGATGTATTTGTTCTCTTCACTATCATGGATAACTCCAATATAAATGTGAATGATATTAAGAGAGAAACACAAAAAGATGAGTGCTTAATAAAAGTATATGAGTACTGTAAGAATGGTTGGCCTGAAGAGTCAGTGAATGAGGACTTAAAGCCATATAAAATAAGAAAAACAGAGTTAAGTCTAGAAGATGGATGTATACTATGGGGGTCAAGAGTAATTATCCCCAAAATGTTACAAAAAGAAGTTTTAAGAACTTTACATGATACTCATCTTGGTTCTTCCAAAATGAAGAGTCTAGCAAGATCATGGTTCTGGTGGCCACATATGGATGCTGATATTGAAAAATATGTAAAACTTTGTTCAAGCTGTGCACAACATTCA